AGAGAAAGAGGAAAAAGCAGAAAGCTGAAGTCAAAAGCAGATGGCTAAAGTTGGGTTTTGCTTTTAGCTTTTTGATGCGCTCCGTCAAACATTTCAACTTTTTTTTTTTCTTTTTGCATTTTTACATGGAAAATTGAGGCACGTGGCTTCACGAAATTTAGATTTCATTGATTTATTTATTTTTTTTGGTACATAGATTTCATTGATTTATTGTGGTCACATGACCACGCCTCAAAATTTATTGGGGTCATTTTTGAGGATTAATTCTAGAAATTGATCCCTTAACTAACTCATCGTTTCAATCAAGTCTCTCTTTTACTACTTTTTGTTTCAAATGAGGCTCTAAAAGTAACTTCGATACCATTTTAGTCCCTTTTTGGCAAAATTTTGCACTTATTATGGTATTTTCTCACAAACTCTACAATGCATGGAAACTTAAACAGAGTAGTTACATCTTGCCTAAAACACTAGATCATTAAAAGAAACTAACGAGTAAGAAAACTAGTCTATGTTAACGGCTGCATTAGACGAGGAAACTAGCTCAATAGCATATTAATAGAGAGAGAACTGTTATGTAAGGTTGTGTGGCTCTCTCTCTTAGTTTCTGCCTTAACTGCAACAGTTGTGCAGTAGAAGGTCTTGTTCGGTACAAAATTAAATTTCCAGAGTTTATTTGAGAAAAAAAAAAAAAAGGTTACTAAAAGGGCCTGACTAGAATAAATGATTTAGTTGAGAGACTAACCTCAAGTTTATCTCATTTGTCCCTTGTGCTATTTAACCAAATTTAATAAACAAGTTTAATGCATATTTATAATATTGATTTCAAGAAGTTTGTAATTTACTTTATAATGGTTGATTTTTTACTTTCTGATGCCTTGAATATTCTTGATTTGTCCAAGGTATTAGTCATTAGAAATAATATGAATCAAGTATTTGGGAACCGTTTGTTAATTCTAAGTTTACCTCCCAAATTCAATCAAAGATAATTTATCAAAATTAAAATTAATAATGTGTTTATGTTGAAAAAAATAGAGGGAATAAAAAGAAATGAATCCCACAAATTTTTTAACATAAACTAAATATTTTTTTTCCAATTAAATTAAGGCATTGACTAAATATCTGAATTTAATTAGATTAACCCTGTGTTTGGTTTTTGCCTACTTAAGATCAAAACATCCTTGATTATAAAAGAACCAATTGATGGCCAAAAAATTATAAAAAAACCAATTTTAATCAACAAATATGACCTTTAGTACACTCACCACGTGATAGAGTAGTTGGTTCAGCGACTTGCCCTTAAGTGGGGGCACCTCCTAGGTCGTTTGTTAATTGCTAGTACTAAAAAATGTGATGACCATTTCAATACTCACCTTCCACAACATCCTCTTGAACACAATCAACCCACCCTTTTTTGAACTCCAACAATACGTAATCTCTCCACCTTAAAAGCTTCATTACGAAAACCCCATAAAAGTCCCAATTCCTCTTCCTTGTGGGTTTATATATATATATATATATATATAGACTCTCATGCTTTCTTTTTCATTTTTTTTTTAATTCTTACATAAGAAATAGATTTTTAAATTACGAAAATGCTCCCTGAACTGTAATACTAGTATCAATTTGGACTTCTAAACTTTTAAAAATACTGAAATGGCCATTAAACAAAATTTTTTACTTCAGTTTTTATCCTTATCTTAAATGCTAATTTTTAGAAATAAAAACATGAAAATTCTAAAGAATTAACGGTTCATATCAGCATTTAACTTACCAAAGAATTAAAAAAAAAATAAAAAAGAAGGTGAGTTTACTTGCTTAGGGACCATTTCAGTATTTAAAATTATTAATTGCCAAATTGGTGTAAATCTTAAAGTTTAAAGACGTATTTAAAATATTGTAACCTAAATAGAAACGGTCCCATAGGCATTAAATTGGGCAAGACCAACATGCCGCCAGCCACTATAGACAGCGATGGGTCTGTGTGCAGCACCGTGGCTCGTACGGCTTCACGTGGCCTTGTTAGGCGACAGCAACAAAAGTGGCTCTCCATCCCACGTGTACTCGACCCTCGCCCTCATTTTCTGAGCCATTTTGGCGCAGGAAAATCGAGCCACTGCGTTAGGACCACACCCAGATAAACCGGTGGTACAGAAATGCTGAAGCAGAAATTGACTCGTACTAGGAAGATTCAATGGTGATGAGGATGCACAATCGATTGCGTGACTTGGAAACTTCAACTAAGTAATGCTTCGAATAATTAAGCATCAAGGAGAGGGCTAAGTGGCACCATTTTAATTTCCTTCTTGGAATGAGGCCCGTGGTCCAATCTTCTGCAATGTGCAATTGAACAATGAAGAATTTAGGTTCTGTAATTCGGTTTTGAAGCTCAATCAGAAACAACCCAAGTTGAGTCCACTTTATACTGAGATTTATGTAGGTTTTAAAAACTCAAGTATCTGTTAGTATTTGTTGATATCCATATGGTAGCATCATTTCTTTAGGCCAATTTTTGAGAAATACAAGATTAATTTCTCTAAAACAATCTTAAGAACAAACTTTCATATTGACTTTGGGTACTGACTTCAAAATTGATTCATGAACTTAAAATAAAAGACAATATTTGTTTATTAACTAATCCAATTCTCACAATTCCTCCACATATCCATCTTATTAGCACCAAGTTAATAAACACTTTAATGAGAACCGCCAACATAAAATATGAAACATCAAAATTATTATTTGAAAATGATTTATGGTGACATTTTTTAACAATGAAATTTCAAAATATGACTTGATGTAGTTTTTATTATTTTTTTATTTAATGAAATATGTGGTATTATGCATATCAATTCATTTAATGTTATCTGTTAGAAAAAAAAATGATTCTATTCACATCTTAACATTATGTAAATATTATAGGATTCTTTGTCAAAAAATCAAAACCAAAATGATCCAACCATATCATTCTAATATCTTTCCACATATTGAATTATGATTCTCAAAGTTATCTCCTATCAAAAACAAACAAATCGAAGACTATTTTAGCAATTTGTACATCTCCATGTCTCCGATGTGCGATCCATAAATAAAGTCATGCAGACACAATATTTCTTCAAATGTCTCAGTCTTCTTGTTTCCTTGTAATCATTCATGAAGTTCTTGATTCCATATTAAATCTCTCTAGATTTTTTCCTATTTTGGGAGGTTTTAATTTGTTTTATTAGCTTGTAATTTAGTTTAATAAGTCATCTTGCAAGTCTATATTTTATGTGCCGATTGATCTATCATATTTGATGAATTGTACTCGTGCAGTTGTACGGACGCGCATGTTCTTGTGTGTGCCATATCCATATATGGGAAATAGAAATATTCCATCCCGACGGATTTTCTTGTATTTTTATTTTTGCTTTTTTTAAGATCAGCTTAACCCTGAGTTTGGATTAAAAAGCATGAAAGGAAGGAGAAGAGAGGAAAAGGGAGATGAGAGAAATTATATCTTTTTATTTTCTTTATTTTCTTTCTCTCCTTCCTCTCATTTGAATATATAAATAAAATTTAAAAATAAAGTAAAAAAAAAATTTTCTTTCCTTCCTCTCACCTCCAATTTTTTCTATAACTAAAAAGAAAAATTTTTTCCTTTGTCCTCTTCTCTATTTTTCTCAACCCAAACATATTATAAATGTGCATTATTTGTATCTTTTTTTAATTAATTGTTATGAAAAAGATAAAAAAATTAATTTTAATTTTAAAGATAGGTATTTTTTTAGTATGGATTTCACTTCTTTTACCCTCAGTGTTTTCAATTTAAATAAATCATTTCAAATTTAACATATAACGTTAGATGACGCCAACAATGAACTTATTAGTGGTGCAGTAAGTTTATGCTAATCAGTTCATGGATTATTGATATCATTTGACGTAAAACATTAAATTTGAAATGATTTATCCAATCAAACACGTTATAGGTGAATTCATCCCTATTTTTTGTTTAGGGATATATATGTTTTTACTGCCTAACTTTGGACATGCATTTGGGCATTTTGCCTAATGAATAAATATCGAAAGTAATTTTATTAAATCTATTTCAATAATTTTAGTGCTCAGACTTGTGCAATCCATATTGAAAAACATATTTTTATTAATTTTATCATCTACCATGTGGCATTAGTATTGAAAATAAAATTAATTTGTTATTTTTATAAAAAAATAATGACAAAATACAATTAACGTATCTTAAGGATACAAACTAAAAACACCCTTTTATTTATTTTTTATTTTACAAATGGACGGCACTCCGAAATTAGCGTGTCCAATTAAACTTGATAATGAAATTGTGATGGACTCATAATCGCGGCACTATTAGTTTTAGTGGGTCCATGCTCACGTGGACGCCCACGGTTCGGTCATATGCGTGTTCTAGGGTTTGGAAATTGGTTACGTGATTGAACTCCTTAAGGCCGATTCAAGACGATGAGTGTATTATTGCATGTAAAGCGAGAGAGAAAGGATAGGATCCAACTAAGGTAGGGAGAGGGACTTCTGGCTCAGAATGAATTCTGTGGGCAAAAGGTTCAAAACTTCATGGCTGCTTTTTCTTCTGAGTTTGACATAGAAATGGACCCAACTTTTGACATTTAAAATTTTTACAAAATGGAAAATTGACTTCAAAACGTCTAGTACTAATTCAATTAGGGTATGCATTTTCTGATTATCTTTAACAAGAAAAAGAATTAATTAGGGTATTTTTTTATGTTTTTAAGAAATTCTACCCATAGATCATATAATATTAAAATAAAAATCTCTTACTTCACTTAAAGAAAAGAGAATTACTAAATTACTTTAGTAATTGACACTAAATTAAAGTTTCAAATTGTCTAACAAAACTTAATTATTATAAAAATTAACAAGAGACTTATTAGCATTGACTGTATTCTAATTCCAACATGATTAGATAAAATCTCTTACCACAAACATTCCAGAAGAAAATGCCATTGACTGGGAATGCAATTATCCTCAGAAATTCTACTTGGGATAATGACACAACTTTCGATTTTATTCAGGCATACTCATTTTATTGGATAAAAAGGAAGTCTGACGAATTATCTTTGACTTCAGTGATTGATGCATTTTTCTTCATTTGTGTCCTGTGGATATGGTTGAAGGCATCCTATATTGAAAATTCTTATTAATATTAAAATTTTTTATAATTATTTTATATAAATTCCAGAGTTAGTTCGTACTCAAAAACCATACTCAGCTGCACTTTCATAAGAGCTAAAACTTAAAAAAATAACAAAAGAACTGATGTGTATTCTGTCCTCCATTTCTAATTAATTAACATTAATAAAGAGGTGAGTTCTTTAATATTGGGGGCTTGCGTAGATTGTATTATAGTATTCTTAAAAATAATATTATATTTATTTATTTTTAATAGATTTAGTTTAATTTTTTAATTTTTTTAAATATGAATTTTAAATAAAAATTTAATAATTTACATGAATAAAAATTAAAAAAAAATTCTTTCTATATAAAATTCTTATTGAGTATTTTAATTTAGTCAAAAAAATTACAATAGTTATTTATATAATATATTAAAATTTTATTTAAAATTTTATCTAAAAAATAATAATAAAAAAAAAGTTAAGTTAGTAAAAAACTGAAAAGGGAGAGTATATCTTAGCATTAAAATGATGAGGAAGAACATATGGTGCTGTCCTCGTGTGCGTGGCTTCATTCTCCAGCACACAATTTGAACTGGGCCAGGCTTTCCGATTATACTCAACATCATTTACACAACCAAATCTAATCAACTCTCCCACGGGCATAAAATCTAACACAACAAATTCTTACATCAAAGGACAACCAAACAAAAAATTTTCGTTACAACTGTTTTAACCGACACCCTCGTGACATCTCAGTTAATTAATAAAATTGTCTAAAGATTAAACCCTTTTGTTCTCTAGGCATAACATAGAGTTGCCAAATTTTATTCTTATGAAATTAACCATATGCTATGATGTTTGGGAACAAATGGTGAATTGAATACCCAACTCTCGTTTTGGATAAGGTTTATTAGTTTACCTTCGTGTATTTCATTGTTGTGTTTGTTGCTTCTATCAATGAGGGATAGAAAGCAAGTGGGGCTTGGAGCAGAGACATTAAAACGAGACTCGGATTGAAATAAATACACAGAGACAAAAACTAATCGACGTTTGAGAGAGATGGAGAAAGGCCATGGTCGATGTAGGGTGAACTACGGACAGAACCAGAGGTGAGGGACCGGCTAGCCATGGCAGGGACCATTTGCTTTGAGAGAGACAGTGAAAAGGGGAAGGTTCCCATTTACGGACCAACTACCATATCCCATGCCATCCCTTTCATTTATCTTGCAATTTCCTGCGGGCCTGAAGTGAAAAAGGGGTCATTAAAATACTAATATTAGTGGGTTATTAGTGGGCTTTAAGTGGTAGATGGACCAGATTGTGGGTGTTAATGGGTTGGACTTTACCCTTTTCTGAATGGATTAAAAATTTAAAAGATTTGGTTTGGGTCACTCAGTAATTGTTAGGAAAGGGTAGAAACTGGCTAGAAAATTTTAGAAGTGTACTGGGAAGGGGGAGCAGGGCCAGAAATTGTAGTGCCAAAGCAAGAGTTGATGTAAAATGAGATTCAATAGTTACAAATAGATTATAAATTTAACAATTATAATATAATATTAACTAAGTGTAATATATAATTAAATAAATAAAAATATATAATACTATTATAATTGGTGCCTATTTCCTTATTTTCAGTGGATCTATTTTCAATGAAGAGAAATTTTTTTTAGTTGATTCAATTTATAAAATGTTTCACTAAGTAAAAGAAAAATCTAATACTTCCAAGCTTCAACTACAGTGTTATTGGTATTCTTGATTTTTCTGCTTGAAATTGTTGGAAGAGATTTTTGAGCACCTGTGTCACTTGCAAAGGGGAAAAATAAAAAACTATTAGGGCAGGCACTAGAGGTGTCTGCGGCATGCGCACTTCGATGCTTAAAGATCTAATAAAGATGTTGGAGAAGGAAGAATAAGTTCAGGGGAGAAGATGGACTCAAAAGGAGTTACCTTGAATGAAGTGAGGAGGTTTTTTTATAGTCCCTTTCTTCATTTGTCACATGCATTGTATAGGTGAATCTGCTAAATTCCATTTGCCTTAGGTTTCCTGCCTGCCAAAATAGTATAGATGACAAAGGTGGCATCACGTACAAGTAAGACACATAGGCATAAAACAAAGGAAAGTGGGTGACATCTTTTAACATTCTGTAGGTAGTGCGACTTAGTGGTCTGTGCATGTACTACTTGACACGATATGAACTCTCTATCTTTTGTATCTTGTCCTTTGCTTCACCTTGGTAGCTAAGTTAACATTGTAGCTGTACTTGTAATAACTTACTAGCTATGTAAGTCCTAACAAAGATAGCTCATCAGTTAGAAATTTATGAATCTTATAAATTCATAGATTTAACAAGTATTTCATGAAATTTTTTTTAAAATCAGACATGTTAGACAGAGTTAACAAGTTTTATCTAATCTAACCATTCTATGAAAGATATGTACCAACCAAAAACCACCACATATATATAATAAGTATTTAGCTAGTATTAATATTAATTATGGGGTTGGACTTGGTTTGCTTTACAAAATTTCAACTGTGTCATCTATGTTAGAAGTCTTGATTTTTTTTTCTATTTTCAGAGAAATTAAATGATGAAAGGATAGAGCAACGCATGGAGTCACATGAATTGTAGTGAGAGATAGCACGACTATCACGTGGATGCCGGTTTGAGACCATCACATTACAATGACCCGGTACGTAATGCGATAATCTTATGTTGGCCACATCTAAAATAGGAAAATATATACTACTCCTATAGTAACAATTATCTTCAATTCTCTTTAAATTATCAATGGCGTGTGACTTTAAATTATTACATCAGTATCTTACTCAATAGATTATTGTACCCTTATAATATTATATACACGATATCGTAATTATATTATTTTTATTTTTTTAGTTAATAAAAAAATTATAGTTTGAGATTTTTATGGTCTTATGTGTACGGTCGAGATGTAACTAGACAGTACAAAATTGGAGTGATGGAATCACAGAAAGTGGACCGTTTCACGTGCCATGGACCTGCCCCCCCCGGGTGGAAGGACATGGCCCGCCACGTCCCATGAATGTGAGTGCACAGTTTCTTGTTTGTCCCCGTAAGTGGCCCCGTCGGATCTAACAATTAGTCAAATCAAAATCGGATCATCCCGTGGGTTCCTAATCGAGCGGCTCTAATCATTGCAAAAAATAAAAGGCTCCGCCATCGTAACTCCAAAAGCTTTGGGGTCCCTCTGGGAAACAAAATTGTTAAAATATTAATTTAATTTTTTAATTTATATTAAAATTAATTTTTAATTTTAAAAAATATTAAAATTATCCTCAAATTTTAATTTTTAAAATTAAAAATTTTTTCGATTAATAAAATATCATGGAACATTTTATTTTACTACAAAATTAATTAATTCTTTTTTAAAATATTAATAATGTATAAAATCAAATAGTTTTATTTTATTATTGTGATACATTTCTATTTATATATTAAAATTGATATATAATTAAATTTAAAAAACTAAATTGATATTTATAATCAAGTTTAAAGACTAAGTTGACACTTATCTTTAAAATTTAAGTACTAAATTGATATTACTTTTAAAGTTTGAGAACTATTTTGATACTAAAAAAA